TCACTGCCATGTTTGCTACATTAAACTTCTGTCTGCTCTACTTCACTGCCATGTTTGCTACATCAAACTCCTGTCTACTTCACTGCCATGTTTGCTACATTTAACTTGTGTCTTCTCTACTTCACTATCAAGTGTGCTACATTAAACTTCTGTGTACTCTACTTCACTACCATGTTTGCTACATTAAACTTCTGTCTGCTCTACTTCACTGCCATGTTCGCTACATTAAACTTCTGTCTACTCTACTTCACTACCATGTGTGCTACATTAAACTTCTGTCTACTCTACTTCACTACCATGTGTGCTACATTAAACTTCTGTCTACTCTACTTCACTGCCATGTTTGCTACAATAAACTTGTGCCTGCTCTACTTCACTACCATGTGTGGTACATTGAACTTCTGTCTACTCTACTTCACTACCATGTGTGCTACATTGAACTTCTGTATACTCTACTTCACTACCATGTGTGCTACATTAAACGTCTGTCTACTCTACTTCACTGCCATGTTTGCTACATTCAACTTATGTCTACTCTACTTCACTACCATGTGTGCTACATTAAACTTCTGTGTACTCTACTCCACTACCATGTGTGCTACATTAAACTTCTGTGTACTCTACTTCACTACCATGTGTGCTACATTGAACTTCTGTCTACTCAACTTCACTATCAAGTGTGCTACATTAAACTCCTGTGTACTCTACTTCACTGCCAAGTTTGCAACATTGAACTTCTGTCTGCTCTACTTCACTACCATGTTTGCTACATTTAACTTCTGTGTACTCTACTTCACTACCATGTGTGCTACATTGAACTTCTGTGTACTCTACTTCACTACCATGTTTGCTACATTAAACTTCTGTGTACTCTACTTCACTGCCATGTTTGCTACATTAAACTTCTGTCTACTCTACTTCACTGCCATGTTTGCTACATTAAACTTCTGTGTACTCTACTTCACTGCCATGTTTGCTACATTAAACTTCTGTCTACTCTACTTCACTACCATGAGTGCTACATTGAACTTCTGTCTACTCTACTTCACTGCAGTGTTTGCTACATTGAACTTCTGTCTACTCTACTTCACTGCCATGTTTGTTACATTAAATTTATGTCTACTTTACTTCACTGCCATGTTTGTTACATTAAACTTCTGTCTACTTCACTGTTATGTGTGCTACATTACATTTGCGTCTACTCTACTTCATTACCATATTTGCTACATTAAAGTTCTGCCTACTCACTACCAAATGTGCAATATTAAATTCATATCTATTTCACTGCGATTTATGCTACAGTAAACCCCCGTTTACTTCACTGCCATGTGTACTACATTAAATTCCTGTCTACTTCACTGCCATGTTTGCTACATTAAACTTCTGTCTACTTCACTGCCATGTTTGCTACATTAAACTCCTGTCTACTTCACTGCCATGTTTGCTACATTAAACTCCTGTCTACTTCACTGCCATGTTTGCTACATTAAACTCCTGTCTACTTCACTGCCATGTTTGCTACATTAAACTCCTAGGTACTCTACTTCACTGCCATGTTTGCTACATTAAACTCCTGTGTACTCTACTTCACTGCCATGTTTGCTACATTAAACTCCTGTCTACTCTACTTCACTGCCATGTTTGCTGCATTAAACTCATGTATACTTCACTGCCATGTTTGCTACATTAAATTCCTGTCTACTTCACTGCCATGTTTGCTACATTAAACTCCAGTCTACTCTACTTCACTGCCATGTTTGCTGCATTAAACTCATGTATACTTTACTGCCATGTTTGCTACATTAAACTCATGTATACTTTACTGCCATGTTTGCTACATTAAATTCCTGTCTACTTCACTGCCATGTATGCTAAATTAAACTCCTGTCTACTTCACTGCCATGTGTACTACATTAAACTCCTGTCTACTTCACTGCCATGTTTGCTACATTAAACTCCTGTCTACTCTACTTCACTGCAGTGTTTGCTACATTGAACTTCTGTCTACTCTACTTCACTGCCATGTTCGCTACATTAAACTTCTGTCTACTCTACTTCACTGCCATGTTTGCTACATTAAACTTCTGTCTACTCTACTTCACTGCCATGTGTGCTACATTAAACTTCTGTGTACTCTACTTCACTGCCATGTTTGCTACATTAAACTTCTGTCTACTCTACTTCACTGCCATGTTTGCTACATTGAACTTCTGTCTGCTCTACTTCACTGCCATGTTTGCTACATTAAACTTCTGTCTGCTCTACTTCACTGCCATGTTTGCTACATTAAACTTCTGTCTGCTCTACTTCACTACCATGTTTGCTACATTAAACTTCTGTCTACTCTACTTCACTACCATGTTTGCTACATTAAACTTCTGTCTGCTCTACTTCACTACCATGTTTGCTACATTAAACTTCTGTCTGTCTACTTCACTGCCATGTTACTACATTAAATTCCTGTCTACTTCACTGCCATGTGTACTACATTAAACTTCTGTCTACTCTACTTCACTGCCATGTTTACTACATTAAACTTCTGTCTACTCTACTTCACTGCCATGTTTGCTACATTAAACTTCTGTCTACTCTACTTCACTGTTATGTTTGCTACATTAAACTTCTGTCTACTCTACTTCACTGCCATGTTTGCTACATTAAACTTCTGTCTACTCTACTTCACTGCCATGTTTGCTACATTAAACTTCTGTCTGCTCTACTTCACTACCATGTTTGCTACATTAAACTTCTGTCTACTCTACTTCACTACCATGTTTGCTACATTAAACTTCTGTCTACTCTACTTCACTACCATGTTTGCTACATTAAACTCCTGTGTACTCTACTTCACTGCCATGTGTGCTACATTAAACTCCTGTCTACTTCACTGCCATGTGTGCTACATTAAACTCCTGTCTACTTCACTGCCATGTGTGCTACATTAAACTTCTGTCTACTCTACTTCACTGCCATGTTTAGCTACATTAAACTTCTGTCTACTCTACTTCACTGCCATGTTTGCTACATTAACTTCTCTACTCTACTTCACTGCCATGTGTGCTACATTAAATTTCTCCTACTCTACTTCACTACCATGTTTGCTACATTTACTTCTCCTACTCTACTTCACTACCATGTGTAGCTACATTAAACTTCTGTCTACTCTACTTCACTACCATGTTTGCTACATTAAAATTCTGTCTACTCTACTTCACTGCCATGTTTGCTACATTAAACTTCTGTCTGCTCTACTTCACTGCCATGTTTGCTACATTAAACTCTGTCTACTCTACTTCACATGTTTACTACATTAAACTTCTGTCTACTCTACTTCACTGCCATGTTTGCTACATTGAAATCTGTCTACCACTTCACTACCATGGGAAACTATTATTCTCTTCTGAAACAGTAATTTCTAACTACCATGTGTGCTACATTGAACTTCTGTCTACTCTACTTCACTACCATCGTGTGCTACATTGAACTTCTGTCTGCTCTAATTCACTACCATGTGTGCTACATTGAACTTCTGTCTGCTCTACTTCACTGCCATGTTTGCTACATTAAACTTCTGTCTACTCTACTTCACTACCATGTGTGCTACATTAAACTTCTGTCTGCTCTACTTCACTACCATGTGTGCTACATTAAACTTCTGTCTGCTCTACTTCACTGCCATGTGTACTACATTAAACTTCTGTCTACTCTACTTCACTGCCATGTGTGCTACATTAAACTTCTGTCTACTCTACTTCACTACCATGTGTGCTACATTAAACTTCTGTCTGCTCTACTTCACTGCCATGTTTGCTACATTAAACTTCTGTCTGCTCTACTTCACTGCCATGTGTGTTGCTACATTAAACTTCTGTGTACTCTACTTCACTGCCATGTTTGCTACATTAAACTCCTGTCTACTTCACTGCCATGTTTGCTGCATTAAACTCCTGTCTACTTCACTGCCATGTTTGCTACATTAAACTCTTGTCTACTTCACTGCCATGTTTGCTACATTAAACTCCTGTCTACTTCACTGCCATGTGTACTACATTAAACTCCTGTCTACTTCACTGCCATGTTTGCTACATTAAACTCCTGTCTACTTTACTGCCATGTGTACTACATTAAACTCCTGTCTACTTCACTGCCATGTTTGCTACATTAAACTCCTGTCTGTTTCACTGCCATGTTTACTAATAGGAATAAACTCACAGGGAGCAAGTACAGCAGGGATCTACCAGTCGTCAGTAGAAATTATCCTCGTCAACACGCGTTTCGGCCCACGATTCCTAGACGCATTCGGAGGTGGGCCCACCTGAGTTCATGAAGCTCAGGGCTGGTTCCCTGCTGCACGAAATTACCGGATGGTGTTTTCTTTCGGTTAGAGACAAGACGACTTGGTGGTTTGCAGAAGGTACTGTGAGATAAGAAATCGCCGCGGCAGCCTAATTAGAACAGTCAGCGTGCATGGACGACTGAGCAACAAGCTTATGATTGGTTTACCGGACACATGTTGGACTTTGTTAGCAGGTGGCAGAGGAACAATGGCAGACAATTCGGACACGATGGACTTTCAAGGGGTGAGAAACCCTTTTCCACTAGACACCCGGACCAGCTCACCGAGGCCCGTCCCCTACATTGTTGCGTTGCATCCAAAGCCAGCTAGAGGCCCTTTCGGCTACCTCTCCCAGTTTTTTTAGTGTTCGTTTCTGTTCATTACCGCGCAATCCTAGTTCTTACTACATTAAACTCCTGTCTACTTCACTGCCATGTTTGCTGCATTAAACTCCTGTCTACTCTACTTCACTGCCGATCATACATACACATAAGACTAAGTCCACTGTACATGTATATTTATTTATCGTTATGAAGAATTGAGAATTGAATAAATAGTATTAGGTGAGTGTGGAAGCAAACGAGAAAGAAGTAAAAGGTGAAGAAAGGACATGAAAAATCAGATTGATTGATTGATTGATTGAGTGACCTTGATCTGTTTGTAGAACCCTGATGCACAACATGGTGCTGGCCTGGATGTTATCTCCCGAGGACAAACGGGTGGAGATTGTACACCTCATGGGCAACATACTCAGCTTCTCAGATGAAGATTTCCAGAAGGTAGGCAACCATTTCTGCTCAGTGTGTTCTTCTTCTTCTTAGCCTTCACCAGCTATAAACTCCACTGGCAGTTCTTGTTGCTTGTCCACTTCTGGACTTTGGTACCAATTCCAGCATTTGAGTTTTACATGCACATTTGTTTCACAGATCTGGTTTGTCTGCATGCAAACTGTTGGTCCCTTGCTTCTCAGGCAGATGCACTCTGACTTCAAAGGAAACACCCCTAATTAGTTGCCTTGTATCACATACTTGTTAGCTCTTGGAGTCCCATGGAACGCATGGCCCAATCAACAAGTGAAGGTTTTTATTTTTAATCTACCACTGACTGGTTATAAAACGTGGACCGCTCAATTTCAACTTCCTTTTGAGTTCTTTGTGTCTGATATCAGGCTTGCTCATTTAGAAAAGTGGTCTGAAAGCCGAAAATATTGTATATTTGCGAGATTTGCCGAGTTACTAAGTGTTTGTTTGAAAAGAATATGGCCGCCGTGCAGTATTCTACATGCGTGCCAACATGACTTACAGCTTTAGAGGCCTCACATTTAAATAAAGTACGTGTTTATTCGAAGTTAGATAGATAACGTTGCAAATTAGACATGTTTCAGTCATTTATAGAGTCAAACTTTAATGAGGGATATGTCTAGTGTGTACCTCACGCGAAAGGTACAATGATAGCAAAAATTGAATTAGTATGGTCTTTTTTAATGTGTTACACTTGTGAAATTACAAAATTTCATTACCACCCCTTGGGCGTCTGAGCTAAACTCCCTTGTTGTGTGCTAACCTAGCTACAACTAGCCAGCATACTACCAAGTATCCAGCAGGTACAACTTTTGCTTCCTCTCTTACAAATAGAACTCGACTACAATGACTCCGTCATACATTTTATTCAACAGGTTACATGACACAACTGCAGAGACGTAGCTATTGATCCCAATTGACATTTGCCCATAGTCCATTTAGTCAGCACTCGCTCTCTCTCAACTTGTAGCGGCTTTTCCTTGACCCCTACAGCTCCAAGACCTACAGCGTCCACAACTCTGGGCACGCCGTACATAAGACGAATTCTCCTATACACTGGACCTTAATATTATTTCAACAGACAGCCACAGCTGAGTGGAGACGGACTTCCCTTGCCGTTCTCCAAAAGCACACAGCTTTCGTCAGCATGTCGAAGGGCTCAGATGACCGACAGGACTTCTAACCCAAGTCCCCTCTAGCACACAGCTCTCGTCGGCATCCCCCACTGTCCTGTTTCCGTAGTGACTCTACGTCTCCTCGCGTTGTCACCCAAAACAGTTACTATTGGAGCATCCTGTCCCCTTGGACTTACTTCGCCAGCGGGACTATACCTTCGACCAGTACCGCAACCTCAACCCTTACTCAGGCCTTGATGCCTGATAGTTGTACAGTACTCTGTCTGTTATACTCAAGAGAGATAATCACTGACCCTAACTTGGTCCCCCCCTCTCTCTCTCTCTCTCTCGCTATCTATCTCTCTCTCTCGCTATCTCTCTCTCTCTCTCTCGCTATCTCTCTCTCTCTCTCTCTCTCCCTCTCTCTCTCTCTCTCTCTCTCAGTCTTGCTCCGACTCTCGGACTCAGACTGACCGGACTGACTCCTCAGCCCCAATTTATCCCTGTCAAACTCATGTGGATTACACGATAAGCACGCTCGTGTGAGCGTTTTCGGGAAACATGTTCATGTGGGTGTTCTCGAGACTCACGTTCAAGGAAGCGTTCTCGAGGATCACACTTATGTGAGTGGCTGATGTCACATGAGAATCACGCTATCACGTAATACACCCTTCTCTCTGTGGTTCTCATTAACCATGCTTGTCAGCCCCCACACAGTAACTCACGTGTCTACTTTCTCGTACGTGTATGCCTCGTTCATGATAAGACATTTTAACTTGTCAACATTCTCTCCTCTCAATACTCGGCCCATGTTGACACTATTCCCTGTGAACTCATAGAAAGTACTATCATACCACTCTGTCCCTTCACACAATATTACACTTTCCCAAATCAGCACGCAACACCCCTGGGACTCAAAGAGTTGGGGGGGGGGGGGGGGGGGTGTTTTTTGTTTTGTCTTTATAAAATGGGACCCTAGAACCCACAGGGGGCCCAGTACCCACATGGGGAGTTCTATGTTCAGTTTTTAATAATGGAATGAAGTTAGATGTGACTTTTGGCTTGAAACACGTCCAGTTTAAATCCAGTCAATCAGTGACTTGTATCTCCAATTTCACATCAAATGAGTCATCCTATAGTTGCTCCGTTTGTATGCCAGCAAAAACTAATGGAATGTCAGTCGCTGACCTTTTTGAAAAACTTGGAACAGACTGGAGTCTCCGCAAGTTGATAAAATACACATGTTAAATGTATAAGGCAACCATTAGAAGTGCCAACACAAACTGTCCACCACTAGAATTGCAGTTTTAACTACATATCTGTGGTCACACATGCAGTTAATTGCATAAGGCCTCACCTCTTCTGTGGCAACATACCAATCATCATTTTCTTTCTGAATCTGCAGTTCACAACACAAACCACACTGAGCATAGTTGAAAGGCATTCAAACTAAAATCTGCTGCTCACAGTGTCACACCATGCACTCCACTCAACTTTCAGTCCAGATATGGGAAGAAATGTGACAGCAATGATTTCTAGAAGCAAATAACTTGCCAAAACTATAAATGTAGTAGATGGTGGAGCTGCAGTAGATGATAAGACTGCAGGAGATTATAAAGCTGCAGGAGATGGAGCTGTAGGAGATGATAGAGCTACAGGAGATGATAGAGCTTCAGGAGATGATAGAGCTGCATGAGATAATGGAGCTGCAGGAGATGATGATGCTACAAGATATTATGGAGCTGCAGTAGATTATGAAGCTGTAAGAAATGATGGAGCTGCAGTAGATTATGAAGCTGTAAGAAATGATGGAGCTACAGGAGGTTATGGAGCTGCAGGAGATGATGATGCTACAAGATATTATGGAGCTGCAGTAGATTATGAAGCTGTAAGAAATGATGGAGCTACAGGAGGTTATGGAGCTGCAGGAGATGATGATGATACAAGATATTATGGAGCTGCAGTAGATTATGAAGCTGTAAGAAATGATGGAGCTGCAGTAGATTATGAAGCTGTAAGAAATGATGGAGCTACAGGAGGTTATGGAGCTGCAGGAGATGATGATGCTACAAGATATTTTGGAGCTGCAGTAGATTATAAAGCTGTAAGAAATGATGGAGCTACAGGAGGTTATGGAGCTGCAGGAGATTATGATGCTACAAGATATGATGGAGCTGCAGTAGATTATGAAGCTGTAAGAAATGATGGAGCTACATGAGGTTATGGAGCTGTAGGATATGATGGAGATGCAGGGGATGATGGAGCTGCAGGAGATGTTTGAGCTGCAGGACATGATAAACCTGCAGGAAACGATGGAGCCGAAGGGGATGATGAAGCAACAGGAGATGAATGATCTGCAAGAGATAATGGAGCTGCAGGAAACAATGGGGCTGCAGGAGATGACAGAGCTGCTGAAATGATGGAGCTGCACAACGCAGTAGAGCTGCTGGAAATGATATCTTCTTCTTTGCGTTCAGTTTCGTATGCTCAGATCAGACCATCATGTGGGTTGCCTCTATTAACTCGCATGTCAGCTGCAGGTCCTGCATGGTTCCCATGGTGCTCTGCACACTTTGCTCTTGAGGCCAGGTGTCTTTTCGAAGTTGCAGGTAGAGTGGGCAGGTCTGCAGAATGTGCTGGGGTGTTTGTGGTCCTGTTTGACAGACACACTATGGGGACTGCACAATCTTTATTTTATGCATGTGGTAGTTGAGCCTGCAGTGTCCTGTTCGTAGACGGAAAATTGTTGTATGTTGCTTTCTGTTGAGTCTGCTGATGGGGTCCTATGGATGTTTAATGATATAGCTGCAGAAGATGATGGAGCTGCAGGAGATGATAGAGAAACAGGAGATGAATGATCTGCAATGAATGATGGAGCTGCAGGGAGCGATGGAGTTGCAGGAGATGACAGAGCTGCTGAAATGATGGAGCTGCAGGGTGCAGTGGAGCTGCAGGAAATGATAGAGCTGCAGGAGACGATTAAGCTGCAAGAGATAATGAGGCTGCAGGAGATGATGGGGCTGCAGGAAATTATGAAGCTGCTGGAGATTATGGAGCTCTATGAAATGATGAAGCTGCAGGAGATGATGGGACTGTAGGAGATTATAGAGCTACTGGAGATCATGTAGCTATAGGAAATGATAAAGCTAAGGAGATGACAGAGCCACAGGAGATGGTGGAGCCACAGGAGATGATGGAGTTACAGGAAATGATGGAGTTACAGGAGATGATGGAGTTACAGGAGATGATGGAGTTACAGGAAATGATGGCGTTACAGGAGATGATGGAGTTACAGGAGATGATGGAGTTACAGGAAATGATGGAGTTACAGGAGATAATGGAGTTACAGGAGGTGATGGAGTTACAGGAGGTGATGGAATTACGGGAGGTGATGGAGTTACGGGAGATGATGGAGTTACGGGAGATGATGGAGTTACGGGAGATGATGGAGTTACAGGAAATGATGGAGTTACAGGAAATGATGGAGTTACAGGAGATGATGGAGTTACAGGAGATGATGGAGTTACAGGAGATGGTGGAGTTACAGGAGATGGTGGAGTTGCAGGAGATGGTGGAGTTACAGGAGATGGTGGAGTTACAGGAGATGGTGGAGTTACAGGAGATGATGGAGTTACAGGAGATGATGGAGTTACAGGAGATGATGGAGTTACAGGAGATGATGGAGTTACAGGAGATGATGGAGTTACAGGAAATGATGGAGTTACAGGAGATGATGGAGTTACAGGAGATGATGGAGTTACAGGAGGTGATGGAGTTACAGGAGGTGATGGAGTTACAGGAGATGATGGAGTTACAGGAAATGATGGAGTTACAGGAAATGATGGAGTTACAGGAGATGATGGAGTTACAGGAGATGATGGAGTTACAGGAGATGATGGAGTTACAGGAGATGATGGAGTTACAGGAGATGATGGAGCTGCTGGAAATGATGGAGCTGCAGGAAATGATGGAGCTGCAGGTGTAGGAGATTATGATGCTGCAAGAGATGATTGAGCTGCAGGAGGTTTTGACGCTGCAGGATCAGATGAATGTTGCACGTTGGGAAGGTACCCAGTCTCTTTTAAAATGTCTCACATCACATCTACTATATCTGTAATCTCTCAGGCTCATGTTTCCAAATGTCTCTATCATTAGATCGAGGCAGCACACCAGAAAGGTGGACTTCTATCAGGACTGTTTCGAAGGACTCCAGTGACACCTTCAAGACCAAGTTCAGCAAACCAGGTACAGATGTCTTCTCTGACTTAGTTAATCCTTGTTTAACTTGACCTCTTTTACATAACCTTTCCAGTCAGGATCAATGTTTGTTGTCTATTTTGCTGGTTGCTGTCTTTTAATGGCTTGTTTACACATCTTTATCCATTTCTTCAGTTGTCACAGACACCCTGTTGATAGTGTCAGAGACACCCTGTTGGTAATGTCACAGACACCCTGTTGGTAATGTCAGAGACACCCTGTTAGTAATGTCACAGACACCCTGTTGGTAATGCCAGTGACACCCTGCTGGTAATGTCACAGACACCCTGTTGGTAATGTCAGAGACACCCTATGGTAATGTCACAGACACCCTGTTGGTAATGTCAGTGACACCCTGTTGGTAATGTCAGAGACACCCTGTTGGTAATGTCAGTGACACCCTGTTGGTAATGTCAGAGACACCCTGTTGGTAATGTCAGTGACACCCTGTTGGTAATGTCACAGACACCCTGTTGGTAATGTCAGAGACACCCTGTTGGTAATGTCACAGACACCCTGTTGGTAATGTCACAGACACCCTGTTGGTAATGTCAGTGACACCCTGTTGGTAATGTCAGAGACACCCTGTTGGTAATGTCAGTGACACCCTGTTGGTAATGTAAGAGACACCCTGTTGGTAATGTCAGAGACACCCTGTTGGTAATGTCAGTGACACCCTGTTGGTAATGTCAGAGACACCCTGTTGGTAATGTCAGTGACACCCTGTTGGTAATGTCAGTGACACCCTGTTGGTAATGTCAGTGACACCCTGTTGGTAATGTCAGAGACACCCTGTTGGTAATGTCAGAGACACCCTGTTGGTAATGTCAGAGACACCCTGTTGGTAATGACAGAGACACCCTGTTGGTAATGTCAGAGACACCCTGTTGGTAATGTCAGAGACACCCTGTTGGTAATGTCAGAGACACCCTGTTGGTAATGTCAGAGACACCCTGTTGGTAATGTCAGAGACACCCTGTTGGTAATGTCAGAGACACCCTATGGTAATGTCACAGACACCCTGTTGGTAATGTCAGTGACACCCTGTTGGTAATGTCAGAGACACCCTGTTGGTAATGTCAGTGACACCCTGTTGGTAATGTCAGAGACACCCTGTTGGTAATGTCAGTGACACCCTGTTGGTAATGTCACAGACACCCTGTTGGTAATGTCAGAGACACTCTGTTGGTAATGTCACAGACACCCTGTTGGTAATGTCACAGACACCCTGTTGGTAATGTCAGTGACACCCTGTTGGTAATGTCAGAGACACCCTGTTGGTAATGTCAGAGACACCCTGTTGGTAATGTCAGTGACACCCTGTTGGTAATGTAAGAGACACCCTGTTGGTAATGTCAGTGACACCCTGTTGGTAATGTCAGAGACACCCTGTTGGTAATGTCAGTGACACCCTGTTGGGAATGTCAGAGACACCCTGTTGGTAATGTCAGTGACACCCTGTTGGTAATGTCAGTGACACCCTGTTGGTAATGTCAGTGACACCCTGTTGGTAATGTCAGAGACACCCTGTTGGTAATGTCAGAGACACCCTGTTGGTAATGTCAGAGACACCCTGTTGGTAATGACAGAGACACCCTGTTGGTAATGTCAGAGACACCCTGTTGGTAATGTCACAGACACCCTGTTGGTAATGCTTGATCATGTCAGAGACAGTAATGTTTGATCATGTCAGAGACAGTAATGTTTGATCATGTCAGAGACAGTAATGTTTGATCATGTCAGAGACAGTAATGTTTGATCATGTCAGAGACAGTAATGTTTGATCATGTCAGAGACAGTAATGATTGATCATGTCAGAGACAGTAATGTTTGATCATGTCAGAGACAGTAATGATTGATCATGTCAGAGACAGTAATGTTTGATCATGTCAGAGACAGTAATGATTGATCATGTCAGAGACACCCTGTTGGTAATGATTGATCATGTCAGAGACAGTAATGTTTGATCATGTCAGAGACAGTAATGTTTGATCATGTCAGAGACAGTAATGTTTGATCATGTCAGAGACACCCTGTTGGTAATGATTGATCATGTCAGAGACACCCTGTTGGTAATGATTGATCATGTCAGAGACAGTAATGCTTGATCATGTCAGAGACAGTAATGCTTTATCATGTCAGAGACAGTAATGCTTGATCATGTCAGAGACAGGAATGCTTGATCATGTCAGAGACAGTAATGCTTGATTATGTCAGAGACAGTAATGCTTGATCATGTCAGAGACAGTATTGCTTGATCATTTCAGAGACAGTAATGCTTGATCATGTCAGAGACGGTAATGCTTGATCATGTCAGAGACGGTAATGTTTGATCATGTCAGAGACAGTAATGATTGATCATGTCAGAGACAGTAATGCTTGATCATTTCAGAGACAGTAATGCTTGATCATGTCAGAGACGGTAATGCTTGATCATGTCAGAGACAGTAATGCTTGATCATGTCAGAGACAGTAATGCTTGATCATTTCAGAGACAGTAATGCTTGATCATGTCAGAGACAGTAATGCTTGATCATGTCAGAGACAGTAATGCTTGATCATGTCAGAGACAGTAATGCTTGATCATGTCAGAGACAGTAATGCTTGAAAATGTCTCACCCTGCTAATAATGCAGGAAACATGGCAAACAATCAAGTGGTGAGAGCAGACTTCTGTCAAGGACCTGTTTTTGAATGATTATGAAGCAGTAATTTGTAAACTGATCTTCCAGCCGTGGTGATGGTTTTAGATCTATATCAGTGTAGATTTGATGTGGGCTCCTGGTTTAACCCAGGCTAAATGGGTGTTGTTAGAAAGTCAAGACAGCTGATGTGAGGACTGACCATCTCCCCCTCACCACTTGTAGGTGTATGTATGTGTATTTAGGTATGTGTGTAAGTATGTGAATGTATGTATGGATGTGTGTGATTGTATGTGAGTGTATTTGTGTGATTGTGGGTGTCTGTATATGTGATTCTATGTGTGTGTTTGCATGCATGTGTAGGTGTGTATGTATTGAATGTGTGTGTGCATGTATGTCTATATATGTATGTGTGTGTTTAATTTCTGTGTATGTGTCAGGGTCCCATGTGGCTGTGGGATGTTTGCAAATGATGATGATAAATAGTGAACTTGTGACCGAACAAAGGCGATGAAGCAACGGGTTTTTCGCTAGATGTTATGTTCTGACTGATGTTAGTGACATGTAGTTTCGGATTAGGGTGTTAGTGTGACAGTAGAATTAATCATGTATTAGTCTGTGTTAGCAAGAGGTAGGTGATTAGGGGTTTTCATAATAGTATTAATGTATTTAGTTAGACGTTAGCGAGGCGGTCCTTGAAGGGTTGATCAGGTTATGTGACATGGTCTATCCACTCTGGCCAAAGACGTGCGGTAGCACGACGGTCTAAGTGTAAGGCGCAGTAGCGTCGGAAAGAGCTTTAAGGGCGTCTGTTGGCTCGGACCCATGTCACAGCCGTAAGGCCGGTAGGTACTGTAGGGGCAAGTGGGTGACTGGGTTGGTAACGCGAACCACTTTGAACTGCTGCATTGATTATTGTGAACTGCATTAAAGATTGGTGTGTATGCTCTCACTGTGTTGATCGATTGTGTTTAGGAATAGACCTTTTTCTGTCATGGATCTGCCAACGAGCTTTCCTGTCCTGACGGTAGTGAAGTAGGTCTTTGACAGTATGTATGTAGGTGCATGTATGTTTGTATTACTTATGTATATATATGAGTGTGTTTGTATGAGAATGTAAGAGTATGTGTACTTGTGTGTTTGAGTGTGTAAGATTGTGTATGCATTATTCTATAATGTATTTTTCTTTATTATATACATAATATGCATTATTGATAACAGGCATTGGTACTCTGAAAAATGAGTGCTTAGAAGGGCCAAATGTCAGACGGGCCTGTGTGCCCAATTTTTAACCCTTTAAAAATAAAGTTTGTTCATTTGTTCACTTGTGTGCTGACTGATCTATAGAAATGCCTGGCTAACACCTTATGTTCAGTATGCCTAAATACAAGGGTTAAAAAGGATAAAAGCTTTCAATTTAAAAAATACATAGTAATGAGTCTTTGATTTAATTGTACTCAGCTGCCTATACTTTATAAGAGGTCAACACAATATAAGCTTGGTTGTTTTTTCTTTGTGTTTTTTTTTAAGCTAATTTTGTTTCTCTTTCTGTTGCAGTCTTTTTCTCAGCTGTTTGTCAAATTCCTGGAACAAGAATCCTCTCCACCACCCTCACCAGTACGACTCCCGGCTGAAGCAATGGCAGCAGAGACACAACACCGCCACAAGCCCTCATTCAATCCCTTTATGGCCCCACGTCATGTCACACAAGACAGTCGCAGAGCCTCCTCCCCGTCATCCCACATCCTCATGACATCAGACTCACCCACATCCAGCCCACTGTTTGCACCTCTCACCAGGGCGCCTAGTTCACAAGAAAGTGCCATCCTTAAGGACGTCTTGGGCAGTAGGTGACATCTGCCTGAACTTGACTCTGCACGAAGACTTGCATTGTGGGAATCTATTTATTTGGTGCTTATTTTGTATATCATGTGGAAATCAGTTTGTTTCAGTACCGGATGTTGTCTTGGTGGGTGTTCCTATTCTATGAGTCAGTGAAATTTTCTCAAATATTCAAGCATGTATATTGTACAAATACATCAGCAGATAGATTGGGCCAATAGAAAGGTTATGTTACTTTTGAATCTTTGTTTTTTTCCATTGATATGAATAAGAAATTTACAATTAAACTTTGCCATTGTCAGAGTGTGACTGAACACTTTAAATATGCTTCAAAGTGATTAAAGCCTCTTCTCTGTAAATATTCAGAAAATCTCAGCCTGTTTTATCCAAGCGCAGATTTCAGAGCATTGGCAAGAGAAATAAACAGAGACTGGAAGAATAAAGTGAGATCAGATTCTAGATCTACCTTTGTCATAACACAGAAATGTATCTTGACTATTACAGCATGGAAATATATCTGACTTTGTCATGGTATATAAATATATATTTGACTTTGTCATGCTATATAAATATATCTGACTGTTTAAAACAATGTTTTCCCATAATGAATTTAAATAATGCGGTCACAAACAATATAAACTTAAATGCGAATAGTTTGTTTCAATGCATCGTGTTTGTCTAGTCACTGGAAGTTAACTGTAGTCACATGACTTACCAGGGTAACTTAAAATTTCCTATAAATTCTGTTTGCTTACAAAGGAGGGGATTGTTAGATTTAATTGTTAAAGCTTTAGCCATTCATAGCAGCAGTACATTCCATTGAACTGGTGCCACTCGGTCGACCTAGTCAGTGTTATCTGAATTATCTGACACAGACACTTTGCAAGGGTACTGATGTTTGACCAACTGTAGTCAAAGGGAAATTAAATAGCTTTGTTCAGATTGACCTATATTTAAGTTATAGCCCATGAGCATATTTTCCTCTATAATTCAAAATGTATACACAAAATGAGGTTGAGGAAAGACACGTTCTGAAGTCACAGAGCGTCTCATCACAGACTCTGTACAGCAAATTCAGCTGTATTTATAAATGTATATATCAGTGCCAGGTGACTTACATTGCTCAGACATAGAGACAGCTTGGAAATAGAATGGCAGAGCATATACCCAAATTGATACATACATAGTTCGATGATTCTTCAAGGGCTTCGAAACCAATTAAAAGGAAAGAACCCACTTCTTTTACCACGTCATTTGCTTATTTCAGGACACATAATCGACACGGAAAGTTCTTTCTATGTGGTTTGCCACACCTAACAGGCTACTGCTATGAATGGCCAAAGTTTTAACAAATAAAATTAACAACACCCTCCTTTATAAGCAGATAAAATTTATAGTAAACCTGAAGTTACCTTGGGAAGTCGTGTGACTACAGTGAACTTTCGGTGACTATACATGATGCATCAAAAAAATAAAAACTATTTACATTTTAGTTGGATTTATTCTGTTTTTGTGTGCTTCCTAACCCTAACCCTCCCTCTCAACCCCCCTCCCTCTTAACCCCCCTCCCCTCCCTCCCTCTTAACCCTCCTCTCCCTCCCTCCTTCTTAACCCTCCTCTCCCTCCCTCCTCTCCCTGCCTCTTAACCCCCCCCCCCCTCCTCTCCCTGCCTCTTAACCCCCCCCCTCCTCTCCCTCCCTGCCTCTTAACCCCCCTCCTCTCCCTCCCTGCCTCTTAACCCCCCCTCCCCTCCCTCTCAACCCCCCTCCCTCTTAACCCCCCTCCCCTCCCTCCCTCTTAACCCTCCCCTCCCTCCCTCTTAACCCTCCTCTCCCTCCCTCTTAACCCTCCCCTCCCTCCCTCTTAACCCTCCTCTCCCTCCCTCTTAACCCTCCTCTCCCTCCCTCCCTCTTAACCCTCCTCTCCCTGCCTCTTAACCCCCCCCTCCTCTCCCTGCCTCTTAACCCCCCCCTCTCTCCCTGCCTCTTAACCCCCCCCCCCCTCCTCTCCCTCCTGCCTCTTAACCCCCCTCCTCCCTCTTCCTCCCTGCCTCTTAACCCCCTCCCCCCTCCTCTTAACCCCCCCCCCCCCTCTTCTCCCTCCCCCTCTTAACCCCCTCTTCCTCTTAACCCCCCTCCTCTCCCTCCCTCTCTTAACCCAACCCCCTCCATTTCTCTCTTAACACCCCCCTCCCTCTCCCTCTTGACACCCCCACCCTCCCTCTCCTTAATAACAACCCCCTCCCTCCTAACCCCTCACCCGCCTCTTAACCCCCTCCCTTCTCTCCCCGCCTCTAAACCCCCCCTCCCTCCTCTCCCCGCCTCTTAACCCCCCTCTCTCCTCTCCCTCCTCTTCTCCTCCCTCTCCCTCCCTCTTCCCCCCTCCTCTTCCTCCTCTCTCCTCCTCTCCTCCTCCTCTCTCCCCCCCCTCCTCCTCCCTCCCCTCCTCTTCTCCCCTTCCTCTCTCCTCTCTCCGCCTCTTCCTCCTCTCTCCTCTCTTCCCCCTTCTCTCCCCCCCTCCCTCTTCTCTCTTTCTCTCCTCCTCCTCCTCTCCTCTCCTTCCCCTTCCTCCTCTCCTCCCTCCTCCCCCCCCCCCTCCTCTCCCCTCCTCTTCTCCTCTCCCCTCCTCTTTCCCCTCCTCCCTCCCTCCTCCTCTCCCTTTCCTCTTCCTCTCTCTCCTCTCCTCTCCTCCTCCTCTCTCCCTCTTCTCCTCCCCTCCTCTTCTCTCCCTCCCTCCCTCCCCTCCTCCCTCCTCCCTCCTCCTCCTCTTTCTCCCCTCCCTCCTCCACCCTCCTCTCCCTCCTCTTCTCCCCTTCCCCTCCCCTCTCCTCTCCTCTCCTCTCCCTCTCCCCTCCTCCTCTCCTCCTCCTCCTCTTCCCCTCCTCTTCTCTCTTCTTCCTCCCTCTCTCCTTCCCTCCTTCTCTCCTCCTCCTCTCTCCTCCCTCTCTCCTCTTCTCTCCTCCTCCCCTCTCCCTCTCTCTCCTCCCTCTTCCTCCCCTCCCTCCTCCTCCCCCTCTTCCCTCCTTCCTCTCCTCTTCCTCCTCTTCTCTTCCTCCTCTCCTCCCTCCTCCCTCTCTCTCTTCCCTCTCTCCTCTCCTCCTCCTTCCCCTTCCCCCTCTCTCCCCTCTTCTCTCCTTCCCCTCCTTCCCCTCCTCCTCTTTCCTCTCCCTCTCCTCCCTCTTCCTCTCCTCCTCTCCTTCTCTCCTCCTCTCTTCCTCCTCTCTCTCCTCCCCTCTTCTCTCCCTCCTCCTCCCCTCCTCTCTCCTCTCTCTCTCTCTCTCTTCTCCTCTCTTTCTCTTCTCTCCTCTTCCTCTTCCTCTCTCCTCTTTCTTTCCCCCCCCCTCCTTCTCCCTCTCTCCTCTTCCCTCCTCCCTTCTTCCCTTCTCTCCTCTTTCTCCCCTTCTTCTTCTTTCTCCCTCCTTCCCTCTCTCTCTCTCTCCTCTCTCCTCCTCCCTCCTCCTCTTCTCCTCCTCTCCCCTCTTCTCTCCTCCTTCTCCCTCCCTCCCTCCTTCCTCCTCCCTCTCTCCTCCTTCTCCTCTTTCTTCTTCTCTTCCTCTTTCTCTCCCTCTCCTCTCCCCTTCTCTTCCCTCCCTCTCTCTCTTCTTCCTCCTCTCCTCTCCCCTTCTCCTCTTCTCTCTCTCCTCTCCTCCTCTCCTCTCTCCTCTTCCTCCTCCTCCTCTCCTCCTTCTCTCTCTCCTCCTCTCTCTCTCCCCTCTCTCCCTCCTCCTCCTCCTCCTCCTCTCTTTCCTCTTCTTCTTCCTCTCCTCTCCTTCTCCTCTCCCCTCTCTCTTCTCTCTCTCTCTCTCTCTCTTCTCCTCTCTCTCTCCTTCTCCCCCCCTCCTTCTCCTTCTCCTCCTCTTTCTTCCCCCTCCTCCTTCTCCTCTCTCTCCTTCCCCCCCTCTCTCTCTTCTCCCTCTTTCTTCCCCCTCTCCTCTTCCCCTCTTCCCTCTCCTCCCCTCTCTTCTCTCTCTTCTTCTCTCTCCTCCTTCCTCTCTTCCTCTCCCTCCTCTCTTCCTCTCCCCTCTTCCTCCTCCCTCCTCCTCTTCTCCCCCTTCCTCCTTCCTCTCCCCCCCTCCTCTCCCCTCTCTCTTCTTCTCCTCTCTCTTCTCTCTCCTCTCCTCCTCTCTCTCCTCTCTTCTCTCTCTCCTCTCTCCCTCCTCCCCTTCTTCTCCTCCCTCTCTCCTCCTCCTCCTCCTCTCTCTCCTCTCTCTCTCCCTCTTCTCTCTTCTCTCCCCCCTCCTCCTCCTTCTCTTCTCCTCTCCCTCTCCTCCTCCTCTCCCTTCTCCCCTCCTCTCTCCCCTCTTCTCCTCCTCTTCTCTCTTCTTCTCCCTCTCTTCTCTCCTCCTCCTCCTTCTCTCTCTCCCCCTCCTTCTCCCTCTCCTCCTCTTCTCCTCCTCTCCCTCTCTTCTTCTCCCTTCCCCTCCTCTCCTCCTCTCTCCTCCCTTCTTCCTCCTCTTCTCTCCCTCTTCCTCCTCTCTCTCTCCCCTCCTCCTCCTCCTCTCCTCTCTCCTTCTCCTCTCCTCCTCTCCTCTCTTTTCTCTTCTCCTCTCCTCCTCCTCCTCTTCTCCCTCCTCTCTCTCCTCCTCTTCCTCCCCTCTTCTCTCTCTCCTCTTCTCCCCCTTCCTCTCTTCCTCTTCCCTCCTCCTTCTCCTCCTTCCTTCTCTCTTCTCTCTCTCCTCCTCCTCCCTCCTCCTCCTCTTCCCTCTCCTCCTCCTCTTCTCTCTTCCTCCTCTTCCTCTCTCTCCTCTCCTCCTCCTCTCCTCTCCTCCCTCTCTCTCCCTCTCTCTTCTTCTCTTCTCCTCTTCCCCTCTTCTCTCCTCTTCCTCTCTCTTCTTCCTCCTTTCTTCCCTCTCTCCTTTCCTCCTTCCCCTTCCTCCTTCTCTCTTCCCTCCTCCTCCCTCCTCCCCCTCCCCTCCTCTCCCTCTCTTCCCCTCTCCCCCTCTCCTTCTTCTCCCTCTCCCCTCCTCCTCCCTCCTCTCCTCCTCCTCCTCTTCTCTTCCTCTTTCTCCCCCC